TTTGACTCATAAACTGTTGTTAAACGACAGACGAATGAGTTTCGAAACCGAAAACCTTTAAGAATACTTATTTTGATGCAAAATAAATAACTTTCATAACTTTTTATCACCTTTTTAGCACCTTTTTTGCACCTTTTTTGCACCTTTTTAGCACCTTTTTAGCCAATTTTAAGTAACTTTTATAGTGACTTTAAGACTGGTTTTTGTCACCTAAAAGTCAATGCTTTACAGACAACTATATATTGAGCACTGAATGAGTGATTATGAAGAGAAAGCGATTGCAATTTGCAAACGAGAATTGCATAAACGCGTCGATCGTATCGGAAAGTGTGGGCAAAGATATCAACACAAAAATATTTGCGAGAAATAAAATCTTTTGAGATGTGAACTCACTTTCGGCGGACGAATCGCTTTATCGGTTTTGATTGTACTTAAGCTGTGAAGTATTGTCTGGTCTTTGTTTACTTCGACCACATTTTTAGTATTCAAATCGATCTCTATTTTAGTATTAATACAAAAACACAGTTAAATATAATGTTAATAATAACCACAAAAACAATAAATAAAACGAGAGAGAGAGAGAGAGAGAGAGAGAGAGAGAGAGAGAACAATAAGTAATAAAAAGTGCGGACAAGAAATTGAATGAAAAAATCTATAAATATATGGATAATTGAGTGGAAAAATAAAGTAGACGTGAATTAAGGAAATGTGGTATAAAAGTAGAGTAAATGATATGTAATAAGCATATGGTTTAAAACAAATGGTAATAAACGGTATAATACCCCTCGTATTGAAAGGTCTGACCCGAATGGCAACTTTCACTTTACAATTATCACTCATATTCACTATTCAATTGAAACACTGCTCCAAATATTGTCTTCAATTACGATATATAATACGAAAACACAATTAATTTTTTATAAAACACTTTATAATTACTCTTCAATTACACAATACTTTAATGAATGGTTGTTATGATTGTTGGCTCCGTATATGTAATCATTTTCGACATACAAAACACAAATCAAATTAAAGTCATAATACAATTGTCCCGCAAAAAGAAAGGGGTTTTTAAGTATACAATGAGTTTATGGTCTCAAAAAGTGTGTTATATTTTTGTCACAGCGTTTGGTCTGTACTTCTTTGCGGAAGACGTGAACCAATGACACCAAAAAGTAGTATAAGTTATAAAAGTTATGCACAAAAAAACTATAATCACTTTATCGTAGAATAAATATTTAGGAAAAGACATACAAAACACATAATAATCATAATATGCTATAAATAAATGCCATAAATATTCAGTGAAAATGGTTTGACTCCAAAATATAGTCCAAACAAAACTTTTTTGCTTTTGTTTTTCGCCTCACATTTGAATTGAAAGTTTTGTTTCAATTGTCAATACATTTGAATCCGTTTCTTGTGGTCATTATTTGGTCCCATAATAACGTGTATTGAATGGCAATACTATAGACACTAACAAAACGTAAATATAGTTTTCAGAGCGAAAAGTAATCATTAAATTGTTATCAAATGAGAGACTGTTTTCATAATAATCGACAGCAAAGGCGTGTATTTCTCGCAAACACTTATCACTCGGTATTCATAACAACTCATAGAAACTCATTATTATATCATATTTTCGTCTCTTATATTCACTTTTGTAACAAACGTTAGTTAACACATTATTTACATACTAAACAATGTAATTAGCGGCCTTAACAGCGAATATAACTGACGGTTAATTAATTGTATATTTGGTTATAACTATAAGTGTCGCTTACCGTTATTATGTAATCAATAGACTAAAAGTTGTTATTTATGTTTATGAAAATTATATTTATAACTAATTTTGAAATTTGTTTATAAACAACATTATTAACACAACTCTCCTCAGCAGCCAACATAACTAACAGTTAACTAACGTTAAACAATAACATATTCAACACTATATATGACACAAACCAAACAAAAACAGTTATATTAATAATAAAGTGAACAACAAATTCAAAGTAGACATTAAAAAGTGTATTCAATATAACTGTAATGCCGTTTACGGGCCAAACATACGGCCATTCAATCCATTGTCACAAATAATTGAAAACACAACAAATCAATGAACAGTTGTTTTGCTAAATGAGTGAAAAATAAATGCTTTTTTCACCACTTTTTTCAGTGCCCAGCGTTTGGGTTGCGATCACTGAATGAGAGAGTGGTTTGTGTTTACAGTTTTGTGTTGCCATTCAATGCATTACACACTCAATGCAAACACACACTGAATCACACCAACACTACAACACAGACACACACTCTGTATGTCTGCAATGCATTCAATCCGCGCAATACCACAGCGTTCGAGCCATTCGTATAATGTGTTACTTATGCACAGCTTTAGGCAATCCCTCTCACCTGAGACACAGGTGTAACCTCTCGTTAAGTCATATACTAATTGCTTACTCTTTTAATTGAGTCCCCATAAGAGTACCATTGTTTATGAAACCACATTCTATACATACAGTACGTTAAACAACATTTTAATTAGTTTTCACACTTTTAATTATAGGTAGTGTTAACGCAAACATTAATTCAATGCATATTTAATACAATTACTTTATTATAGCCTATATTTAGTCATATTTATAAAAATTATTTATATTTATTAATTAAAATTAACAATAAATGTTAAGTCTATTTACAAATTCAAAAAATAAATTACAATAAACTCTAAAATTATAGATGTCTTCGAAGGAAAACGCAGCTCCTATTGAACGAAATGAATAACAAAATTAATACAAAAATATTTCCAATAAAATAGTAAATCAATGAAAAGTATGAATATATCAGTAGAGAAGATGACTACATAAGAGACCGAAAGGCCTTTCAGGGAATCAGAACTGTTTTCAATCATCACTTAATGATTGAACAAAACTTCAAAAGTGGACACAATTTGATCGTACCTTCAAATAGTTTATCGCCTTTGAGTCTTTCCGAGGCCTCGCTTTCCAGCGAACAAGTGTTTGGGCTTAACGTTGAGAATCTTACGATCGGCCTCTCCTTTGCGGGCATTCCTGTTCATCGATGTCTGCGCTTTCTTACCCATAAAGCGGACCTTCTTTCGCATCTATTCATCAAAGAATTCATTAGACAATTGAGAATCAAACATAAATCAAAGCTTTTATGCAAATTTACTGTTCATTTGGTTAAAAAGCTCACAAATAATTCATCATTAATATAAGACAAGATATTTGTTGTGTAATCAAAACAGCAAATTGTGGCACAAAAAGCAAACCAATCTGTAATTACCGTAACATCTCTGACACCGGACTTATCGCGAGGCAACTTAGAGCTACTCCGCACTCTTCCCTCACTGTCTTCACGCAATCGCTTAATGGGAGGTCCAGACCGGCCGTCGTCCACAGCCTCCTCGTAATTCAAGCCCTGAAACAATACAATCAATGGTAAGTAAAGTACAATAAGCGTACAAAATGGACACAATGTATGTATGGGGGCAGCGATCAGAGTGGTGCACAGCCAATGGTTCATTCATCGACACACTTTAATAAGTGGACTACGAGTTGGTGGACTGATCATCATTTACTGCCTAATCCGTACAACACATCCAACAATAATTAACAAATATCTCACCTCTTCATCGCTATCCATATCGACACCCAAACCACGCATTTGTGTGCGAAGTCCGCTCGCACTGCGTTCCCTCTGCTCAACAAAATAGACAAAATGTGGTCAATTTTCGATTCAATTAATGATAAACATAATGTAATAATCAAAGTGTTAGTGTCAGTAGCAGAACTGTATATCAACATGATAATTCAGTAGATTTGGTTTTGGTAAAAAGTATTTCATCATTTCGATGGCAATCCAAAGGCAAGTCATATAAAGTGAGTGAAAGCATACCTTTTTGGGCGGACGCGGTAATCGGGGTTTATTTGTCCGATTCATTCTCTGCTCCACTTTCATGATAGCCTTGCGGTCGCGGATCCGTTTCGCCAGACCTCTCATCTCTTTGGTCTCTTCGTCTTCAGACACATCGGAATTATCATAGAATCCAGCGTTGATTCTCTCCTCTTCGTCCCTCTCGAGCACTTCCAACTTCTTCAGTATATCGGGATCTATAAAGTCGGCGATATTGTGTCCGTTCCAGATCTCGGGAATCACATCGAACTTCTGTTCGCCTTCGATATCGTAGTTCTTCTTGAGGTCGAGAACGTAATCGTCGCCCAACTCTTCCTCGATATGGCGCTCGAGTCGCTTCTTCCGGGTCTCCGTTTCCATCGCCTGTCGCTTACGTAATACAGACTCCGGTATAACAGGCGGTCGTTCCTTAAGATTAAGACACAAATATTGCATACAATTAATACAAGTTATCAAAACATGATTAAAAGGGTTTGAAAATCAAGACATTCAGAATCTGCCTTATGGTAGTGTCTTCACAATTGGTATAAGTGTTGGATCTCATGATCATCAGTAAAGAAAGGAGTAAAACAAGAGCACAATAGAGGCTAACGAGACAAACCTTCTCATCCCTGGGAATGGGTTGCGCGACATGTAATCGACTCGAGAGGGCGTCCGTCTTCTTGGACTTCACTTTATTCTCAACGCGATGGGCGAGAAGTAGATCGCAGGCCTCGTTCCTCAGCTCACAGACACCATCGTTGGTAACTGTACTCATCTGATGGACAAAAACGCCGCTCTCTTTCAGATCGTCAAAGAGTTTGCGCTGTTCTTCGGGTAAGTCATCGACTTTCATGATATCGATTTTGTTCACCACAACGACTAACGGCTTGTTAGCGAACAGCGGCTTAATGTTATTGAAGAGCGCGAACTGGTCTTCGATGGTGTGTCCGCACTGTTCGGACAGATCCATGAAGTAGAGGATACAGGAGCGGAGGTGAGCCAACGCTGTGATCGACTGCATCTCAATTGTGTTGCGCTCTTCGAGCGAGTGGTCGAGAATACCGGGCGTATCGATCACTTGCCACCGGAGATACTTATAGTCGGTGTGACCGACAAACAGAGACTTCGTGGTGAAGGCGTACGGCTGGACGTCCACATCGGCTCGAGTTATCTTATTAATGAAACTCGATTTCCCGACATTAGGAAAGCCGCAGATCAACAGAGTTCTGGTGTTGGGATCGATGGATGGCAATCGGGACAAGTGTTGCCGCACTTGTTCCAGGTATAGCAGGTTCTGGTTCTGGCGCTTCATGATTGTGGCCATCCGTCCCAACGCCGCTCTCTTCAGTTGTTTGCATCGGTATAGAGAGTCGCCGTACTTCAGGAGACGCACGTAATCGCGAGCAATACTAAGGTTGAGAGCAAAAGCACGTGTTATAAGAGTGACTGAACCCCGAAGTAAATGGCATTTTACAGTCAGAGCTAATTTACAATTATTGTATTTCTGTCGCACATTAACGGGGTTTCAATGCTATGAGTCCGCAGACAAACACGTAAAATATGCCTTCAATACAATTCATTGTCCGCAAACTGATCCCACACTACCATTGCTTACCATTACTGGGACTTAAAAAGGCATGTAAGACATGCTCTATGAATGTTATTTCGCAGATAATTAGGAACTAATGCACAATTAGTAACGCAATGGTAAGGGAGAAGCAGTTCCAGAGGTATAGCGACTATAAGAGGTAAAGGCGTGGACTTACTTATCGACAATGTGTTTGCAAGTATTCAATTGACCCAACGCTAGCTTATAGTGGTCTCTATCGTACAACACGTTCATCAGATCCGCAAAGAATGGATGGATTTCCTAATCATAGCGAAGATAAAGACAAAAAGGGTTAAAAGCGAGTCCAAAATGGCTGCCAAAGAGGTCATTGTTGGGGCTAATGGTTAGCCACAGCCCACGTGGAGGCGACCATTCATACCTCCATTTTGGGGAATTCGGTGATAATCTGATCCAATTTGTCTCTGAAGTTCTGTTGAGTGAACTTCACTTTTCGCATATAAAAGGATCTAATCCTCGATATCTTGTAGTGTTTGTGGACAACAGTCGGTGTCTTTCGCTGTGTCTTCGAGAGGACAATATCGATGAAGTCCTTAGTGGTCGGAACCACTGTCACGCTCTTGAAGTTATACCGGGAGGTCATTGTCACTCGTGAGGGATGTCTTCAATGATAATAACGAGAGATAATGAAGATATAAAACACACGAGTATTTGATCCGAAAGAGCGGATCAATAAAAACGTGGTTTTAATGTGAGAGCGATTGTAGAGACGGAAAGACAACGTGTTTTCACAGCCCTATCACTGCCTTAAATACCCAATGCTTTTCACCCATAGCTCGCACTCATCGACACTGACCTGTACTGACACCTACTGTCGTGTCTTTCAGTGCTTTTTGGCAATCAATTTGAATGGCATTTATTCTTGTGCTTCAAATGTAAAGTTTGATTTAGTTTTCATTAATCATCAATAATTAGTAATTCATATTATAATTACATTTAACACTATTTAGTTTACAGAATACAATATAATGTATTATATAAAAATACAATTTATATAAAAATATTTTAATATATATTTTTGAGGCAAATTAAATATTTCTATAAAAACCAACTCTTGCTGAGAGATTCAAATAAAGTTTGATTTGATTTGAAAGTATGTTAACACTTAAAGAAGTAATATTCCGTTATTATCTATTCATTATGATTACAATAAAACCTCCACATCTAGAACTCTTTGACAACAAAATGTTTGTTTAGTTGTACAGAGAGTCGAGTTATAGAGGGTTTGAGAAAAGGCATATTCGGTGCAAATGGTTGTGATTTCAACTTTAATTCTAATCATTACAGAATAGGTGCGATACACTCAACAACAGTACAGTAGATAAACTAAAAAATTCCATGTTATTTCTTAAATTTCCAATGAATTTACCTGATTTGTTAGCATTTGATGTGAAACAATGCTTGAAATTCAATTTACTAATCTTTAAACATCTTATGCATTCAACACCTGTTCATAATTCTTGATGTAGGCCTTTCATGAATAATCAGTAATTGTATTAACAAGTTAAGCTAAAATTGGACTCTGTAATTAGTTACCATGAACTAAATTAATCTACTGTTATCGTGGCAGGTATATTGTTCAACCTTTCATCATTGTAATTTTAGTATAAATACTAATTAAATTGTATAGTCTGTTAAAGCAGAAGTGGTTTTGTATGTTTTTCGTTTACAAAACTGATCTCACAATAAGTATTATAAAAATGATGAGATTTACACTAATCTGTGTAATACTTGTCACATATTCTCTGTCTATTAATGCATTGGTAAATTCTGTGACTGAGAAACCAGAAAATAAGTCAAAATTGTTGATCATATTAGTGGACGGCTTTCGTTGGGATTATGTCTCACGAGAGAAGACACTCAAAGGTTTTCCACGGATTGCACAAAACGGTGTGTCCGCCAAATATGTAAATCCCATATTTCCGGCCAATTCTTACCCCAATTGGTATTCAATAACAACCGGTCGTTACGCCGAAACTCACGGAATGATTGAAAACTATATGTACGACAGTAAGACCGGCGATCACTTCTTCATGAGTCCGCACCCAAACGCCTCACACACTCATTGGTGGACACAGAGTGAGCCGCTGTGGATAACAGCCGAGAAACAGGGCGTTAGGACCGCAATGTTTGACTGGGATGGGTGTCAAGTGAGCTTCAATGGCACCAAAGTTACGACTTGTGATCCGTATCACTCAGTATCGGACGATATCCAAAAAGCCGATAACGAAACCCGAAACTACGGTCAAAAAATTTTAGATGAGTTCGCGGCCGATAAATATAGACTCGTATTTTTGTACCACGAGATTGTCGATCACACCGGTATGTCTTGTTTCTTATCAATTAGCGGTTTTAATAGTTTTAGTGCTTTTATAAACCATTCTTTTAAGAAGGGAACAATTAATAACATATCTAACAATTATAACATAAAGCCATTTATAATCTCAATCTGTATCCTATGTCACAACAGGTCACGGTTATGGACCAAATTCTGCTAAAATTTCAGAAGCTATTCGAGGAATCGATGAAATTCTTAACGATTTATACGATTCGTTAGAGAAGAGAAAGTTAGACAAAGAAGTGAATGTTGTCATCGTTTCCGATCACGGAATGACACAAATCAATGATTTCAAAATAGTTGAGCTCAAAGAAGTCGACTTTAAAAACATCGAGATATTTCTCTGGGAGGGGGCTATTGCACAGGCGACGCCCAAAGCGGGCAAACTCGATGAGGTCTGTCTTATCTATATTTTTGGTTTAAATTTTATCAAATTTTAAATCATTTATTTATATTCTTAGGTTTATAAGCAATTAAGTGAAGTGAAAGGCATTAAAGTTTATAAAAAGGACGACATTCCCGAAAAGTTTCATTATAAGCACAATTCATTAGTTTTGCCTCTTTTAGTGACCGTCGACGTCGGCTATACTCTTAGACCGGTTTGTGTCACTCATATTATATATTTAATAAATTACCAAAGAGTTAGTAATAAGTAATTTCGTTTAAATATATTTTAGCCTCGAATTGAAGGTGTGATATATCCTGGATTTCAACCATCGGTAAAACCAAATGGTGGTCAACACGGCTATAATGTTAATGAATTGACTGATATGAGAGGCATTATGTATGGTTTTGGACCCGCTTTAAAGAAGAATTATACCGCCGAGTCATTAGAAATGGTCGATCACTACAAGGATAAGACAGTATATAACCCATAATTAGGGTAGGGATTATTGCCTTGGCTATCATTTCACGCTGGTTACGAACATTCGTGAATTCGTCACCTCTGTTATCACTTTATTTAAGTTAAAGTTAGTAGTATTTATTTATTATGCTATGTCTTAGCCTTTGTGTAAATTTTATATAATTTTGTAACAATTAATAAAATACCAAAAGCTGTTTCAAAGTTGGAATAATGTGTAATAAAGGGTTTTATATGAAAGCAAAACTCATAATATTCTTACAAATAAAAGGTATTCATATAAAAAAGAAAATCTCAAATTGTATGTTATTATGAAATATAATTTATGTTAAATGATTTTAATGTATAATTATTGTGTTTGAATTGACTAAACTTTAGTTCCCGAATATGACTATTTTAATTTCGGACTTTAGATGTTTTGTGTATGATTCCAGAATATTTCAAGCTCTAGTTATAACCAATAAAATCTAATGACTTAAAATTAATAATTATTTAGTCCGTCATAAAAATCGTACCCCTCGGATTTCCTTATATCTCCCAAACAAAATTAGCTAGGTCAAATCTGTAAATTATAAACCAAAGTTCCACATGTCTAGTTTTTTGTATGAAAAAAAAAAAATTAAAATCACGTGATCAAAACACAAAAATTCTTGGTAAAATCGATGGTTAATAATTTGGCTAATAAATGGCTAATAGTTATAGCCTACTTAGAAGAGGAGGGGAGGGCTGGTATGTAGGTAAATGGGGTGTCAATGTCTATCATACGAAAGTTTCATTATATTCAATCATGTGAAATCATCAATTTCTAGAAATTTGACAATTTGTTAGCATTACCTCTATAGGGAAAATTGTTCCTGAGTCTGTACTTATTCAGTTGGTGGCCCACCGTTAAACTGACATGTCTAAATTCATTTCATAATTATAATATTAAAGTGAAAAACAATTTGTTGTACTCATGAATACAGATAACATGTTTTGAGAATTGAAGCTGAAATCTCGTACTCTATTATTAATTATGAAACTCTAAATAATTCCTCTGTTATCATGATATAAAAATTGTACGGTACAAGGTTTTATCAATGTTCTTTTGTATAAATAGCAAATTATTGTTCACTACTGTGTGTTGTCTGTTAAAACATACACACAAGTCGTGTTGCAGTACATAGATTTCGTTTACAAAACTAATTTCACAATAAGTTTTATAAAAATGATGAGATTTTCACTAATCTGTGTAATACTCGTCGCATATTCTCTGTCTATTAATGCATTACCGAAGGAATCCGTAGATTCTGTGACTGAGAAACCAGAAAATAAGTCAAAATTGTTGATTATATTAGTGGACGGCTTTCGTTGGGATTATGTCTCACGGGATAAGACACTGAAAGGCTTCCCACGAATCGCACAAAACGGTGTGTCCGCCAAATATGTAAATCCCATATTTCCGGCCAATTCTTACCCCAATTGGTATTCAATAACAACCGGTCGTTACGCTGAGAATCACGGTATGATTCAAAACTATATGTACGACAGTAAGACCAACGAAACCTTTTTGATGAAACCCCCCGTCTCTTCACACACTCATTGGTGGACACAGAGTGAGCCGCTGTGGATAACAGCTGAGAAACAGGGAATTAAGACCGCAATGTATGTGTGGGATGGATGTCAAGTGTCTTTTAATGGCACCAAAGTTACTAATTGTGTTGAATATCATGCGGTCAACGAAGACATTCGTAAAGCCGATAACGAGACCCGAAACTACAACCAAAAAATTTTAGATGACTTCGCGGCCGATAAATATAGACTTGTATTTCTATACCACGAGATTGTCGATCACATCGGTATGTGTTGTCTATTATCTATATTATAAATAATAGATACTTATAGATTCTATAAGTATTTGAAAGTTATCGCAAAGTTTTATTGTGTTTAGGAGAAGGGATGAAACGAAACTTTTCTTATTATTAATTTTTACTTTTATTATTATATATTCTTTATTCATAGCAACAAATGCTTCCAATTTCTCTATACTTATAGAAGTCTGATATAATTTATAAGTGTTTTTAAAACTATATTGATAATAATACTTTTAATTATTATCATGTTATTATCATATTCTACTTATAATTATTGTTCCCATATTTTTATTATCATTGATTGATTATATTTTCAATTTTAGAATCACATCTGTTTTAATGTGATTTAAGTCATACCTAGAGTTACAATGATAGTAATATCAGTACTGAACTAACAAACTCAGTAAACACGGGTGGCCTTCACTCTATGCAATCAATCTATTGTTCTCATTATTTTTAGAGAAACATCGGTTTTGAGCAAAAATACTTATTTTATATCACAAAATAATAAACAAGATTAATCACTTATCTAAACAATTATAACATAAACCCATTTATAATTGTAATGTTGATTATATGGCATAACAGGACACAACTGGGGACCCAATTCTTCAAACATTACAGAAGCGGTTAAAGGAATCGATGAAATTCTTTACGATTTATACGATTCGTTAGCGAAGAGAAAGTTAGACAAAGAAGTGAATGTTGTCGTCGTCTCCGATCACGGAATGACACAACTCGATAATTATAAAGTAATATGGTTAAATGATTCTGTCGATTTTAACAACATCGAGCTATTTCTTGGAGCGTGGGGAGGGGCACAGATTACACCCAAAGCCGGCAAACTGGATGAGGTCTTTCGCATTTTTATTTGTTGATACATTTTATTAGATTTTCAAATGTTTTGTTTATATTCTTAGGTCTATAACCAGTACCTATTCTGTCATATATTGGGTATTAATCCCATCCCTAATAACGGAACCGATAGTAAAGTGCGACCAATGCTTGTAAGCACTTAAGCAGTGGAGACAATAGTGAAATAAATTCAATTTCAATCATCATTATTTATTATGCTATGTCTTAGCCTTTGTGTAAATTTTATATAATTTTGTAACAATTAATAAAATACCAAAAGCTGTTTCAAAGTTGGAATAATGTGTGATAAAGGGTTTTATATGAACACCAAACTCATAATATTCTTACAAATAAAAAGTATTCATTTAAAAAAGAAAATCTCAAATTGTATGTTATTATGAAATATACTTTATTTTAAATGATGTTAATGTATAACTATTGTATTTGAATTGACTAAACTTTAGTTCCCGAATATGACTATTTTAATTTCGGACTTTAAATGTTTTGTGTATGATTCCCGAATATTTCAAGCTCTAGTTATAACCAATAAAATCTAGTGACTTAAAATTAATAATTATTTGGTTCGTCATAAAAATCGTACCCCTCGGATTTCCTTATATCTCCCAAACAAAATTAGCTAGATCATATCTGTAAATTATAAACCAAAGTTCCACATGTCTAGTTTTTTGTATGAAAAAAATATTAAAATCACGTGATCAAAACACAAAAATTCTTGGTAAAATCGATGGCTAATAAATGGCTACTAGTTATAGCCTACTTAGAAGAGGAGGGGAGGGGCTGGTATGTGGGTAAATGAGGTGTCAATGTCTATGATACGAAAGTTTCATTATATTCAATCATGTGAAATCATCAATTTCTAGAAATTTGACAATTTGTTAGCATTACCTCTACAGGGAAAATTGTTCCTGAGTCTATACTTATTTAGTTGGTGGCCCACCGTTAAACTGACATGTCTAAATTCATTTCATAATTATAATATTAAAGTGAAAAACAATTTGTTGTACTCATGAATACAGATAACATGTTTTGAGAATTAAAGTTGAAATCTCGTACTCTATTATTAATTATGAAACTCTAAATAATTCCTCTGTTATCATGATATAAAAATTGTACGGTACAAGGTTTTATCAATGTTCTTTTGTATAAATAGCAAATTGTTGTTCACTACTGTGTGTTGTCTGTTAAAACATACACACAAGTCGTGTTGCAGTACATAGATTTCGTTTACAAAACTAATTTCACAATAAGTTTTAGAAAAATGATGAGATTTTCATTCATCTGTGTAATACTTGTCGCATATTCTCTGTCTATTAATGCATTACCGAAGGAATCCGTAGATTCTGTGACTGAGAAACCAGAAAATAAGTCAAAATTGTTGATTATATTAGTGGACGGCTTTCGTTGGGATTATGTCTCACGGGATAAGACACTGAAAGGCTTCCCACGGATCGCACAAAACGGTGTGTCCGCTAAATATGTAAATCCCATATTTCCTGCAAATTCTTACCCAAATTGGTATTCAATAACAACCGGTCGTTACGCCGAGAATCACGGTATGATTCAAAACTATATGTACGACAGTAAGACCAACGAAACCTTTTTGATGAAACCCCCCGTCTCTTCACACACTCATTGGTGGACACAGAGTGAGCCGCTGTGGATAACAGCCGAGAAACAGGGAATTAAGACCGCAATGTATGTGTGGGATGGATGTCAAGTGTCTTTCAATGGCACCAAAGTTACCAATTGTGTTGAATATCATGCGGTCAACGAAGACATTCGCAAAGCCGATAACGAGACCCGAAACTACAACCAAAAAATTTTAGATGACTTCGCGGCCGATAAATATAGACTTGTATTTCTATACCACGAGATTGTCGATCACATCGGTATGTGTTGTCTATTATCTATAAGTATTTGAAAGTTATCGCAAAGTTTTATTGAGTGTTTTAGAGAAGAGATGGGATGAAACTCTTCTTATTATTAATATTTACTCTCATTATTATATATTCTTTATTCATAGCAACAAATGCTTCCAATTTCTTTATACTTATAGGAGTCAGATATAATTTATAAGTGTTTTAAAAACTATATTGATAATAATACTTATTATTATGTTATTATCATATTCTACTTATAATTATTATTCCCATATTTTTATTATCATTGATTGATTATATTTTCAATTTTAGAATCACATCTGTTTTAATGTGATTTAAGTCATACCTAGAGTTACAGTAATGGTAATATCGGTACTGAGCTAACAAACTCAGTAAACACGGGTGGCCTTCACTCTATGCAATCAATCTATTGTTCTCATTATTTTTTAGAGAAACATCGGTTTTTGAGCTTATTTTACTTATTTTATATCACAAAATAATAGACAAGATTAATAATTTATCTAAACAATTATAACATAAACCCATTTATAATTGTAATGTTGATTATATGGTATAACAGGACACAATTGGGGACCCAATTCTTCAAACATTACAGAAGCGGTTAAAGGAATCGATGAAATTCTTTACGATTTATACGATTCGTTAGCGAAGAGAAAGTTAGACAAAGAAGTGAATGTTGTCGTCGTTTCCGATCACGGAATGACACAACTCGATAATTATAAAGCAATATGGTTAAATGATTCTGTCGATTTTAACAACATCGAGCTATTTCTTGGGGCGTGGGGAGGGGCACAGATTACACCCAAAGCCGGCAAACTGGATGAGGTCTTTCGCATTTTTATTTGTTGATACATTTTATTAGATTTTCAAATGTTTTGTTCATATTCTTAGGTCTATAACCAGT